AAACTGCTGCACAAACCACAGAACGGAGAAAGCCTTTGGTCATGATTGAGAAAGTGAGCCTTGTATGGAAGATTCCCCTGAATGCCTACAGTATTCTACATCTTAAAAAAATATATTGCGGACACTGCAGCCATACAAAGGGGGGAGGAGTGGGAGATGGGGATTTACAGTCTCACATAGACACAACGGGGAGGTTAAGACAAGCACAGTCATAGTCTGTAAAACTGATTGGCTCGCTTGGATCAGTCATCCTCATCGTCCTCTTCGTCTTCTGGATCTTCCTCTCCCTCATCCTCTAGATTTCGTTTTCTCTTCTCCCCTCGCGGAAGGTCTGCAAAAAGAGGCGAAGCGTGAAGCTCTGCTCAGTCTTGCGGAACAGCGTTTGAACTGGGGCTTCGAGCCGCGTCAGCCACAGCTTGCTGGTGAACAAGCACAGACTAGACTGGCACCATTATGGAGCGGAGAGCCACCCTGCCCAGTTTCTCATGGCAGCCAGAAAAGCCCGGCCTAGCACAAGACATTAACTATTTTCTATGCCCAGTTTCTCATGGCAGCCAGAAAAGCCCGGCCTAGCACAAGACATTAACTATTTTCTATGCCCAGTTTCTCATGGCACCCAGAAAAGCCCAGCCTAGCACAAGACATTAACTATTTTCTATGCCCAGTTTCTCATGGCACCCAGAAAAGCCCGGCCTAGCACAAGACATTAACTATTTTCTATGCCCTCCAAGTATCCCACATCTCAACAGCCGCTTGAGAACGGGCTTTTTTTGTTGAGCACCGCCTCAAAAACAGAGCATCTGCAGAATTCAGCCACTTCTGACCAAGGTCATACAAGATCATTTGAAATCGCACACCAGCCGCTATATTCTATCAATATTCATTAAGGTGTTTGCAGTTTGTTATAACCAGAGGAGTCAGGACTCAAGTCAAGAAGCTCGGGTCTACCCTCCTCTCCACAACCAAGAGGAGAGAGGAACATGCGTTCCTCATGCACGGTGCCAATGTGAGCTTCTGGGATGAAGCCCTGCTCCTGCACGGCCCAATCAGTTCAAGCTTAGAACTGGTTTTCTAGGCAATTTGCCTCTAGAATTTTGGATAACTCACCCAGCTTGGTTGGTACTAGGAGGTACTGAAACCCGTTGCCCCACCACCGCTGCGT